CTTCTTGTGTGGATTCACTCAAAATAAGAATCTAGAAAAATAAAAAATCCACTCACAACTGTAAAATTAGCTTCAGACTTCCATGTCCTGTAACATCACTTTGTTCATAGAAAACCTAATCCTGTTCCCTTTCCTACTGCATTGTTGACAAGATTAAGCAGGGTTTTGAACTAATCAGGACACATTTCCATCCTTTGCTTTACTTGTTTTGAATCAGTTCTTTAAAATTTTTAAAAGAAAATAAAATGTTCAGCCTATTTTAAATATAGTCTTTTTAAGGGAAAGTATTATACTTCACATTAGGAACTATTGGTATGGAAAGAATTTAAAGTATAGCATTTGTGTAATTTTTCAAAATATAGGAGGTTGACTTGAGAGAAAACTAAGAAGTCTTACAGTTATTTTCTAGGACTGAGTAATAAAATTATCAATGAATGCATGTTCAACAAACCTAGTTTCTAAGATAAGTTTTGAAGAGAAAAGAAAACTCAGTCATGCTGTACATGCCAAGTACCGATCCAAAGTTTATTGAAATATATACCCGAAAATAGAGTAATAAATTAAATCTAAAATTCTACCAAGAGGAATTCTCTATATTAACCAAAAGTCATAGGAATAACATCACTTGATTATACATATATCACTATATACTATCTATATCTGTATCTGTATCTACATCTATATAATACCAAACTTACCCATCAAATGCCTGGAGTTCACATTCTTTAAGTACTGAGAGAGCATGTCCTTTGTATTCAGTTACTATGGAAGATATTTCAAGCATTACAATACTAAAAAATTGAAAAATAAATCACTCAACAACTTAACATACATTATTTAGACATGAACATATAATAAAAGTATAAATGAAAATTTTTTCTTGATGGTTTATTTTCTGATCATTAAATATATTAAATAGCTTGAATGTTTCATAGCTTTATGAATACAAGTCAAATATCTACTCAATTACAGTAATTTGTTACTGTACTATATTCCATACACAGTCATTTTTTAATTTAAAGTTCATGCTTTTAAATTGGTAAGACAAACATTATTTGTTTAAAGATAAAAAATACAGGTTTCCACGCTGGCCAATTCTCAACAAAATTTAAGCCTATCTTCATTTAGACATAAATCATTTGAATACTAATCGCATTCATTTGGCTTTGCATAGAATATGCAAAACGCTAACTAAAAATATGAACAGTTAAATATGGAAATGTGAAATAAAGCCAAATACCAGCAATAACAGCATAGAACATAGGGAGGAGGGTGGCACAAGTATACACCAGAGTCTGTAGCCTCTGGAGTAAATGAATCTGTCACTCTACATTGCCATCTTTGTGGTTGTTCATGCCCTATGTAGTAGTGTAAATGCCAGTGAAGACAGGATAAACTGGCATACTACAGATGGCACAAAGCATCATAACCACATTTAGCATTTTCTAGGGCAGCTTTGCCAGAAGAGACAGCCCAGCTGCATCCACCCATCAAAGATTTCTGCTGACTGACATGACACTTGCAGATGGATTTTTTGTGTAAGAATGTGCATCATTATATGCAAAATTACATTAATCTTTCATGCTTGTCTGTCCCGGGTGCTAGTATGGTTCAAGCCTTTTCTACAATGTTGAGATATTGTTAAAATTATTAGTCTTGGTGTCTAAAATAATCATTCCGTATCCAGCAGTATTATCTATCCCCACATTATAATGTACTACTTTTATAGACCACCCAGATGCTGCTGACGAGAATGAAAGGCTTTAAACCAAAGTATATTTAATGCTTATGTTCTTCAACATTAATACATTTTGAAAAAAAGAGTTTTCATATTAAACAATTACAGTAATAGAATGCACATCTGCAAAAATCTACAATTTGGTATTCTTAATGAATTTTCACAGTATCACGCTTATATGAACTAGAAACTATGTTAGCATATCTTGGGAAGGTTTGAAGCTATCATGAAATCAGATTTACTGCATTTATAATTCTGGTATCTGCAGAAGCATATATCATGTTGTAACTAAAAAAGTGTAGTTCTGCACGGTATATGGCAGCTCTGTCCAAACATACCCAAACTAGCACTTTATGCACTAGCTTCTGAACCAGAAGTAGCTTAACCATGTTCACCTGGCAGGCTGCTTGGGCCAATAGCTTCTGCTGAGAAAAAGAGCTAACTCACTTGGGAATGTAACCACACACATGCAGCTATACCATTCCTGTGCAGAACTAGCTCAGCTCTCTGCATGGTACTGTATGATACTGGGTGAATATATTTAGCAATTTCTAAAATTCTTCACAAAATTGGCTTCATGTAGAAGTTTTTAGGCAAGGGAAAGCCTTTAAAATTAGTGTATTATTGTATTCAGTTCTTTGTCCTTATACCCTTATAGCAACTAATAGAAATGTTTGTAAATATATTGCTTTTCATGCAAAGATGTGTAAAAAAGGAGCATAACGTAAGAACTACCATTTATTGGGTTAGACCATAGGTCCATCTTGCCTAGTATCCTGTGTCACACTGTGGCAGAGTGGATGCTGAAAGGGATCCACTGAAAGGCTATACCCAGGGTTTTTACCACGTTTCCTCTAGCACTCGCAGCCTCCGGCATTTAAGGTCTAGGATAGTGGTTCCCAATGAGTGGTACGCAAACAATCTGTCAGTGGTACGCAGCAGCAGGTGGGGGCAGGGCGCCCAGGGAATTCGTGCCCAGTGCAGGCACCCGGTGGGGCATGGCTCCAGCCTCACGCACACTGGGCACAGGAGGGAAACCCCATGCACTGGAGCCAGCTGCCTTGCCCACCAGGGCTGTGCAGCACAGGAGAGAAGCCACAGGCAGCTTCTCTTAGGGGGGCGGGAAAGGCAGCTGGCTCCAGTGCACAGGGCTTCCCTCCCATGCCTAGTAAGTGTGAGGAGCTCTGGCAATAGAGACTGCCCAGTGGAGGATGAGACTCTCGTTGCAATGTGCAGTGCTGGCCGAAGCCGCGCCCCACTGGGTGCCCTGAGCACTCCTGCCTGCTGCTGTGCCATCAGGGGAATCTGGGGGGTTCCCATATCCCGCCCACCC